TTATGAGGCCATTATCATTTACGGAAGCCAAGCTGGCGATTTGCTCATTGATTATCGCCAATCTTTCATTCAATTTTTGTTGTGCCGGCCTTTCAGGTGTCTTGACGGCTGAGATAGCGGCTCGTGTATGTTGGTGGTGGTGTTGGTTGTGTTGGTTTTAATGAAGCTATCATACGATGGCTTTGAGTTTGACATCAATTAATTGAAACAATTAAATAATGATTTTAATGAATATTTTAGAAAATTATTTTCACTAGAATTAAAACTATATCTATTTAAAAGTCATGTATTCATTCAACATTTGTTATCAAAAAATTAATTTTGATAAAGGATTAATCCCTTAAATTAGTTTAATGCGAACGTTCATATGGCCTCTATACCCCCTCCCCTCGTTCGCAAAAGTTCGTTTTGGCCGACACCCTTTCCCCCTAAGTGCAAACGTACTTTAAGAACGACTGCTAAAGCAATACAACAAACGTTGACTTATTTATTAAAATAATCGTGTTATTATTTGTTTGTTGTATTATCTATTATCAATTCTATGCTAATTACACTGTAGATTAGTTTTATACGACAATTCAAGCATGGTTAACTAATCAACATACACAAATATTAAATAATACTGTTAATTTATTTTACAATTTTGCTGTATTTAATATAATTAGACATAAAGTGGTTAATTATATATCTTATCAATTAATTGGGTCATTAGTTAATTGCATTTAAAAGGAGAACGAAGCCTCGCCATTGGGCAGCGCTGAGCTGAGGGCTCCGGTGGCGGTACCAGCGATACCACTCACTGTATTCTCGGCCTCATTAACAGCATCTCCAGCAACACCGGTAACCGTGTCGACGGCACCACCAACTGTAGACTGTACCTGACCGGCAACATCACCAACAGTACCGGTAACGCCATTAAGGGCACCGGTAGCTGCATTCTGTACCTGTCCCAACACTGGGGTCACAGCTCCTGTAACGGTGTCGACGGCACCACCAACTGTAGACTGGACCTGTCCGGCGACATCACCAAGAGTACCGGTAACGCCATTAAGGGCACCGGTAGCTGCAGTCTGTGCCTGTTTCAAAACTGGTTTCACAGCTTTTTTAAAGTTGCTGACGCCGAGTTCGACGATTGTTTCGATCTGTTTGGCAACAAAGCTGGAGTCCTTCGTGAAGTGTTCGATGGAATTAATGCCTTTATCGAGGAACTGACCAGGGAGGTCTACCAATTGTTTCACACCGTCGGCGACCGGACGTTTGAGGCCACCGATCACATTGCTTAACTCCTGCCGTCCAATATTGGTTACGTCACCGACGAGTTTCACGCCATCATTCACAGCCTGTTTACCGATATTCTCGACCAAACCTTCCACTTGTTTGACAGTATTGACACCAGTGTTGGCCAGACTTTGACCAGTTTTAATGCCGGTGTTGAGCAGGTTCTGGCCAATTGACTTGACCTCATTCAAGCCGTTGCTAATCGTACCAAAAATACTACCCAATTGATTGGGCGCCTGGACTGAGACCGAGGCCCGTTGTGCGGCCACCACTGCCACCAGTGTTGCGACGATCAACAGTTTCATTGTTTTTGAGCAAATGGTTTTTTGTTTCAAAATTACTTTTGATTATTTTTAATTACAATTGATTTTGTAATTGAATTGATTTTTTAAAATGTTTATTGTATCGGTTTTTATACCCTTTTCTTATCCAAACACGTCTACACGTAGTGTCAATGCAATGCATTACACAATATAAGTATAAGTGAATGTATTTTTTGATTGATTTTTTTGTTTTTCTCGATAAAAATTTTGTGATTTATTTGATTTTATGACCATATTTTTATTTTTGTCTTTTTATGATTTTTAATTAATTGTTTTATTTGTGATTTTGCAGTACTTTTGTGTTTATGATTATGAAAGATCAATTTGGCGTTAAACTGGGCCTCTTTAATAAATTTAAGTTAATTCAAAACATATTTAATAAACATATTAAATTAATATATAATATATCATTAATTTTGTATTTATAATTTTATTAATATATTAATTGAATTTCATTGTAATTTATAATTTCATTGTTATATAACATTAATTACTGCAGTTTTACTGCTATTTTATAATTGCATTGATTATAACTAAAGCCTTTCATATCGTGCAAATGCATGTTTTCACCGGTTAGTTATATATGTTTGGGACTTTGGGGGCAAACGAATCACATAATAAGGGGTGATTTGGCCAACTTTTATTTTGCATATAAATGCATATTTAGCGCATAAATGCATATAACTGCATATTTGGTCCAAAAGCATCAAAAAGCATGGATTTGCGCAAAAATCATAAGTATTTATTCATAAATTTATTAAATTCAACTTGTCTAAACTGTAAAATAATTTTAAATAATTTTTATTAGTCACTTAAATTTAAAAATACTATCAATATGAATTATATTATGTATGAAACCTATAGAGGGACAGTAGCTCACCTGCTTAAACTCCACTGCTATAACTAAAGTTAAGCAGTGTCGAGCCAGGTTAGTAGTTTGGACGGCGACCATCTGGTAATTCAAGGTAACGCCAGAATACTGTCTCTTTTCACTCTATGCAACCATTTGGACGGACAGTACATTTGGTTGTCCCAATGATTCACACATTCAGTTTGAATTAACAAACTATTAAAGCATTTGGAAACATATGATACTTTTTTATATTATGTCATTTATGTATTTCTTCACAATTTACAATATAAGTGGGATTTAAAGGGCTAACAAACATTATCATCATAAGTTTTTGTTATCTAGTTAAGAAAATATATTAAATAATATTTATATCACATATTAAAAAATTTATAAGTGCATATTTGGGTGCATATTTGACCACTTTTAAATGCATATTATATGACATATTTGACAGTGAATAAATGCATATTTTGAAAGGCTTTAGTTATTAGTCATATATTTCTTGTTTTTGCGTTCATATCGTGTAATCAGACTTTCGCAGAGACGAAGACGAGAGCATCGTTTCAGTGGTTGTCTTCACGTCTTTTATTTGTTCCCAAAATTTGTTAACAACTATTGAAAATATGTCGCAAACTATCGAACAATTGATTTATAAACTCAAAGATCTCGACTCTGAAGAGAAACACATCAAAGGATTAAAGTGTCAGTTGTTATCCAAACTTAAAGAAGTTGACCAACAATTGGATCAAAACTCAACTAAAAGATCGCTGGCTTTGCGAGAGTTGGAAATGGTTTATGGCAGCGATCAAAGTGATGAAAATGACTTCCAGTCTCTTTGCAGTGATAATACTGATTATCCCAAGAGTTCAGACATCGATGACAGCGATGAATATTCACAGAAACGCAAGTCTCGAAGTGATTCCACTGGAAGTGATGTTGAGGTTAAAAAAGTGAAAAGTACTGCCCCTTCACTCACTAGTCATCTCAATAGTGTTGAAGACATCAACAATTTTGATCAACATCACAGAAACGCAAGTCTCGAAGTGATTCCACTGGAAGTGATGTTGAGGTTAAAAAAGTGAAAAGTACTGCCCCTTCACTCACTAGTCATCTCAATAGTGTTGAAGACATCAACAATTTTGATCAACAAATGGTAAACAAATGCATTGACGAGATGGCCAACCGAGTGATCAATGAGATGGTCAACTCTGACATCAAACTCAAGGATGATTTGGAGAAACTATCTGAAGATCCGATGTTTGAGTCGATGGTGAATGACGTGAAAAGGGATTCGCAAACAAATCTGATGACCCAAACCACCCAAACATCTCTCACCTCATTGTGTCGCTCGTATTCAACTGATGGTAACTTTAAAGAGAATATCTCGCCGTCGACTCGAGTCCGGAGATCGGCGTCAAATCGGTTCAAATTTGACGAACAGAACCCATCGACCCATCGATTGTCCGATAAGTCAAACCGCAGTCCGATCTCACAGTCAACTATTGTGCCAACAAATCTACTTAAAGGCAAGAAATTTCTGTCCACTCTGTTGTCGGAGAAGCAGATCATTGATGAGAAACGGGAGAAGAGTTTTGTGGAAAAAGTGGAAATCACTTCCAAAGACTTTAAAGAGAATATGTTTTTCTGGGAGAAGAAAACCACTGAATGTCTGCTTCAGAACAGAAACGGATCAAAGATTGCTTCGGTTTAAGACAAGTGTTATGTGTTTTATCTAATTTAGTCATTACTTTCAGTACTTATTATTATTTTATTTTTCACGAGAACTCATAATTTCCTTTTAAAATATAAATTTGATTTTTTAAAATTCTATATCATATGAAATAAAGAAAACATAAAATGTGAAATTTGATAACAAACTTAGTTTTTAACCCAATTTTTAATTCAAGAGATTATTAAACTGTTTTCCCCTTAAAAAAGCCTCAAAAAATATTTAACACAATTCGCAACCAATTTATTTAAAAAGAAATAAGATTTGGACAAAAAAGTGATAATAGATTCATGAATTGAATTTTTGATGAGTTTTCGTATATTTTATATATTATCAGACGATAGCGAACTACTCATCAACTCTTATATATATTACACAGAAATTAATTTAAATAATTTAACATTTCGTTTGAATATAAAGTGAATTAATGTTTTATTTTCTTCGTTAAGTTTTAATCGGAGTTATATTTTTAGGAAATAAACAATTTTTTCTTCTCTTATTTGTCAGATTTAAGGCGGAAATGAAAGTTTGTGTTTTATTTATTTATTGCATTCAATATGTGTTACAAATAATTGTTAATTAAATACAGAGTGAAAGAAGGAGACAAATCCCTATCTAATCAACAAAAAAATAAAATAAAGTAAATTACTTTTTATCGACCACTCAAACGTCTGTACACTATATAAAACAAATACAATTTGTAAATAAATTCCTCGGAGTTCATACAACCACACGATTCACTAACTTATATGTAATAACAACTAAAAGTGTATATCAATTGGAAATTGTTTTATTATTATTAAACATAATATTATTTACTCGTAAATATATAAACATATGATTTTTGTGGTCGGGTTTTGAATGAAAAACTACACAATAATTGATAATTTAAAATATTTTGATGAGACACTAAAACGCTCACAGAATTTAATATATATATTATTTAAAAACTTTTCGGACAATTCGGCCGTCAATTGAAAATTTAATTTAAAAGATATATAGATATGACTAAAACATTCACTAAATATTTTTTTCGGGGCCCGTATTAGGCGTCGGTGAGAGCGGCCACTCCGGGCAACACTTTGCCCTCTAGTAACTCGAGACTAGCGCCTCCACCGGTGCTTACATGACTCACTTTGCTTTCAGTACCCCATTTGGCACAACACGTGGCGGTATCGCCGCCGCCGATAATCGTTGTGACGCCTCTGTCAGTGACCGACACGACCGCATCCATCACTGCTTTCGTTCCCTTCGAGAAGTTCTCCCATTCGAAGACACCGACAGGTCTTTGGGTTTGATAGACATAAATATTAGACAAACATATGGTTTCGGCAATTGATTCATTGCATACCCGTTCCAAATGATAGTCTTAGCCCTGGCTATCGGTTCCTTAAACAGTTCCACCGATTTGGGACCGCAATCGAGACCGAGATGTCCGGCAGGTATTCCCGACTCAACAGTGGCCACACCGACGGTCGCGTTCTCATTAAATTTGTCTCCCGTCACGAAATCGACGGGTAAATGCATTTTCACGCCGTTCTTCGCAGCCTTTGCCATCAATTCCTCCACAATCTCAGCCCCTTCTGAGTCATACAAAGAGCTTCCGATCTCCATATTGTTGAGCTTCTTGAGGAAAGTGAAGGCCATTCCGCCGACAATCAGCATTTCGTTCACTTTGTCCAACAAATTGCTGATCAATTGGATCTTGTCTTTCACTTTAGCGCCGCCAAGAATGGCCAAAACGGGCCGCTCGGGTGTGTCCATCACTTTCGCGAAGTACTTAAGCTCTTTATTCATGAGAAAACCGGCGGCCTTTTGGGGCAATTGAATGCCGACCATCGATGAGTGAGCCCTGTGTGCTGTACCGAAGGCGTCGTTCACGTAGACGTCTCCCAACTTTGTGAGACTGGCTCTGAACGCCTCCACATCGGCGGCGGAGGCCTTCGTCTTATTGCCGGACGCGTCCACACCTTTGCCCTCCTCTTCGACATGAAATCTGAGATTCTCGAGGAGTATAATAGATCCGGGCGTCGGGTTAGAGCACGAGGACTCGATCTCCGGCCCCACGCAGTCGTTCAGAAACGTCACATTTTTGTTGAGAAGACGGCCGACTTCTTCGGCCACCGGTCGCAGCGAGTCTTTGTCCACTCGTTTGCCATCGGGTCGGCCCAAGTGTGACATCAGGACCACACTCTTGGCCTTCTGGTCCAGAGCGTAGCGCACGGTATCCAAAGCGGCCACAATTCGCTGGTTGTTTGTGATCTTCAGGTCTTTCATCGGCACATTGAAGTCAACCCTAAAACCATAGACACACAGATCACGTCATCGTCAGTGGATC